GAATTTTTTTTTTTTTTTAATCGAATGATTCTAACCGAGGAAAAAAGATTTTTAATTGTATGCGAATTGTATGGATGATGGACGATGGATTAACAGTTTAGCACGAACGCGCCTTTGGGGAAGGAGGTATTTCGACGTGACGTCACGCCATTTTTCGTTTTTTAAACGTTTTCCGGGTGTATTTCGAAAGATGGTAAATAAAATCGATACGTTTTCGAAATGATTTCAATATCCTGAAGGGATTTTATCTTTCTCTCTCTCTCTTTCTCGGGGGGAAATTACTTATTTTACCGGTAGTGGTAATTAGTTGGAAATGAATAAAATCCTTACGTGTGTGTGTGACGTTAACAACTGTACCACTTGGTCGGTCACGCTCGAGGATTACAAATAAAAGAAAATTTTATTTTTTTTTTCTTTCGTCTCTCATTTCCGTTATTAATTTTATATAAAGCGTACACCTTACACTTTCATTTTAAAAAAAAGGAATCTGATTAGTTTTTCTTCTGCTTGTTTTTTAATTATAAGCCGAGATTCAAAGGCCGTGACGCGTGACAGTAAAAAAAAAAAAAAAAAATTTTTAAATCAAACAAAACAATGGATGAATTAATCACGGTCACGTATTTTTTTTGTTGTTTTAAATTTGTTTCCGTCACGGTATGCCAAGTGTAATAATTTCCACAATACAAATTTAGAAATTTCTAGATTTTCTTTCTTTCTTTCTTTCTTTCTGTTTCTTTTTAAACTGTTAATAAAATGCGTAAAATGATAGGGTGACATACGTATGTAGGGTTGAAAACAACCCGCGAGCAAATTTTTTTTTTCGTGATTCCTCAAGTGGCTTGTATATATTTTAAGTCATTCATTCATTCATTCATTCTTAACGATTTTGAAATAAAAAAAAAAAAGAAAAAAAAAGTTTATTTTTTAACAAGACGTGAGTGTCTGATGATGTTGCGCTTTTTTTTTTATGTAAATAAAACTTGTATAAGTTTTTTTCGTTTAACCTTGTTTTTGTTTTTTATTTTTCTTGTTGTTGTTGTTTGTTTATTTTGTGACTGTATCTGTTTCGACAGCGAAATGAATATTAAACGACAAAAAAAAATTTTTACTTAACTTTCCGTAAAAGTTTATTTTAAACAACTTTTTTTTTTTTTGAATAATGTCACCATTTAATCGCGCAAATGATCGAATCTTACAAAATCAATTTAACGAATTTTTTTTTGTATCCTATAAAATAAGATGTAATTTCGATTAAAAAATAATAAAAACAAGCAGAAGACGTTACGTTCGCTCTCAAAGTTATAATTATTTTCATTTTTTTTTCGAATGTGTTGACGTAATACGTGCGTGCGTGCGATCCGTGGCGAAGTTCAAAAAGCAATTAATTTTTTTTTTTTTGAGAGAAAAATCAAAAAAAAAAAAAGAAATTATTATTTTTAAAATTAAATTTATTATTAAATCCGATAAAGGAAATGTCGGTGGGTGCCTTCCAGGTATGCCGGGTGCTGGAAAACGCCCATTAAAATGACCACCTACTGGCGAGTCGGTTTTTCTGACCTGTTAAATACCAGAGGCTATTCGTTCGGCCCGGAAGAAAAATGCAAAGAAATGCAGGTGAGAAAAAAGGTAGAGCGGAAGAAGGGGGAGGGGAGGAGGAGGGGCGAGCGGAGAAGAGGGAGGAGAGGAGGAGGAGGATGTGAAAAAATATAAATAAAAATGGAAACCCCGGAAATAATTTGCCCAAAAAAAAAAAAATTTTTTTTTTTCCTTTTCCTTTTTTTCCCTTCGCGTTCGCAACTCGGCAATTAAAAAAAAAAAAAATTGTAATTAAAATTTTGAATGAATTCATGAGAAAAATAATAATAATAATAATAATAATAATTTTTTACTTCACGTCCGTTAAAATGTGTTGGAAGGAGTGACTTTTCCAAAAAATTTTCCAAAAGAAAAATAAATCGCGTCATCGTTTGTTTGTTTGTATTTTGATAAATTCACTTTCACGCGACGGATGACGTTGTTGTTGTCGTTGTTGTTTTTATTTTTCCGCTCGTTTCGAAATGACAATAATAATAATAATAATAACTTTACACGTTTATTATTATTATTTTTTTTCTCTCTCTCCAGGTTTATACGAAAATTATACCGTTATATAAAAAAATATTAAAAATCAATAATACGGTGTGGTGTAGTCGATTTTTCTTTTATTTTCTTTTGAAAAGTCTGATGTGGAAAATTTTATTATTATTATTATTATTCGACGTCTTTCCTTCCTCCCCCTCGCGCGCATGATCGTAAAAAGAAATTTTTTTTTTTATTAGAAAAGAGAAGATGGGGGGCGAAAGAAAAATTTTTGAAAAAAAATGAAGTGGTTAAACACGATATCGACGACATTTTTTTTTTTTCTTTCTCGAAAAAGAAAACAAAACTTACGCGACGGTTTTTATTATCATTATTATTATTATTATCGTTATTATTATCGTTTTTTTTTCTTTTTTCCGTTCGTGTCGTTAGAAAATAAAAAATAAAAAAATAAACGCCATTTATTTATATACATTTTTAAAATCGGATTTTCTTTATAAATAATTCAAATGTTACTATTGAAATAAAGTCATTAATATGATGATGATGATGATGATTTTTTACGGTTAAATCGTATAATAAAAACAATAACCGGAAGTTGGGAAATAAAGCGAAGAAGAAGAAGAAGAAAAAAAACTCTTTATCCAGGCTACGTGTTTTTTTTTCCAGTACTACTTTTTTTTCCATCGTGAAAAACAAATAAAAATAAAATTAAAAAAAAAAAAAAAGGAAAAAAAAGAAAAAGGAAGAAAAAAAAGGAAAGGGGAAAAAGGAAAAGAAAATGTTCCATTGCCTTGTGTTTTCGAGAATCGTTATTATTGACTTTAAAGTGTTTGTTTTTTTTTCATTCCTTTTTTTTTTTGTTTGTTTTTGTTTGTTTGTTTTTTGTTTTCTTTCCTCAAGAGGTGATTCAATAGTTTTTTTTTTCTTTCAAAACTAATTTAATTTATTTTGCATTCGAATGGAAAATAAATAAATAATTTTGTTTTTGTGTGTGCGTGTGCGTGTGCGTGTATACGAAGATGATTCGGGCGGAACCCGAAGAACAAAAACAAAACAATAACAAAAAAAAATTTGTTGTTGTTGTTTTTTCAATTATTATTATTATTTATTTTTGGCAGATTTTTAAAATTCCTTATATGTCAAATTCGATGAAGTTTATTTGTTTGTCGTTGTTGTTGTTGGGTTTTGAATTAGGAAAACGTTTTTCGATTGTCGACATTTATACGCGTCATTTAATGATGACGTCATGTGGCCATCTTGTCTTGTCTTACTCGAAGAAAAAAAAATTTTTTTCGGCATTTCGTAAAAGAACATACATACATCTGTCTTTGTCTTTGTCGCGGATTATTATTATTATTATTAATATTATAATATGGATAATTTTAAAATCTGTAAACGAGTTATACGTTTAATATAAATTTATATATTTAAAAAAAAAAAAAATTCGTATGAGAGAGAGAGAGAGTTTTATAATATAACAATATATATTTTTCATTGTCTGCCAACCACGGAGATTTTTATTAGTTTGGAAAAAAAAAAATTCCCGCTGAGTTTTTTTTTTTTTTTTGCTGAATTATGGCTCTTTCGTTTATATTACGTATGCGTGTTGTTTTGCAAAATTAAAAGAATTAATATTATTATTAATATTTTATATACGGGATTTTTTTTTCGAAATGCGAGAGAAAGAGAGAGAGGGAAGAAGTTGTGACACGCCGATTTAAATTAAAAATAATAATAATAATAAAATCGAATTCATTTAAAAATTAAAATGGCCGACAGGTGGTTAGGTTACGTATTTTTTCGTTTCGTCGAGGAAATAATATAAAAAAACGTTTCGGGGTAACGCCCATGAGAGAAAGAGACCTGCGTGTGTGTGCGTGTTCAGAAATAAAATCAGGCCTTGAACAAATTTAAAAAACGTATGAAGAAAGTGTATCAATGAAATATACGAAAAAAAAAAATTTTAGTCGAAAGAATTTTTATGGAAGTTATATTATATATATATGATTACGTAAAATTAATTGATATCCCTTCACTCTCGTCAAAGGAAAAATAAAATGGACGAGAGAAAAAAAAAAAACAAATCGAATGTTTTTTGCAAAAAAAAAAAAAAGTAAAAATTATAAATTAAATTGATTTTTTTCTTTTAACGGTTATAAATTACGAGAGACGGTCGAAAATTATTATTTTTCTTTCCCCCTCATTCTCCCTTTTCCTTCTCTTTTTTCTCCCTTTTTCCATCCTCTTCCCTCCATCTCCTATTCCACTTTTTATTGATCGCGTTATCAAAATTTATTTATTTATTATTATTATCATTTTCGTCGTTTTTGTTGTTGTTTGTAATTTTATTGATTTTAATGACAGGAGAGAGAAAAACAAAAAAAAAAAAAGTTCGCCTTTCTATTTATATTATTATTATTACTATTATTATCATTATTATTATTATCAATATTATCATTATTATTATTATTATTATTATTATCCGGTGAGAATGGTTTTTTTTTTTTTTTTTTTTAAATCGGGATCGATACGACTACGAGAAAAAAAATTAGAAATCGATTTTTTTTTTTTGTGCGATCTGATTATTGATTTTCGAGTTGTTGTTGTTGTGATTTTTAAATTTGATAACGGATGTAAGTGGTGGTGGTGGAGAGGGGGGAGGTGGTTGTTACGGGGAACGAATGAAAATTTTTTTAATATAAAAATCACGTAAAAAAAATAACCGTAATATTTGATTTTTTATCATCATTCTCCTACCACTACGACTACTGCCACTTATTTATGAATTATCTTAAGTAATTTTCTTTTCTTTTTTTAAATTAAAGTTTAAAAAAATAAATAAATAAATAATAATAATAATAACAATTTTTTACTCTCGTCGAAATGAATTTTATTAATTTTTGTTTTTTTTGTTTCAGACGTGGTTTTTCACGGACACGGATGATTTTGAATTTCAAAAAAAAACAGGTACGTACGTTTATCATTATCTATTATTATTATTATTATTATTATTAATATTAGTAGCAGCAGCGTTATTACTATTTTTATTAGTTTCTTTTTTTTTGTTTTTCCCCCACACGTGATTGTTCGCATCGCGCCAAATTTTCGTACCATTTTTTTTACGGTCACATTTTTAGTCTTCTGCTAAAGAGTCACGTATTATTTGTCACGGACGGTTACGAGTCAATTTAAATTTTTAAAAAGAAAGAAAGAAAGAATGAAATGATTTATGATGAAATCGATTAGATTTAAAAGAAAAAATAATAATAATGGATTTTGAATTTAATAAAAGCTCGAAATGTAAAAAAAAGGGGGGGAGAGAGAGAGAGAAAGAAAGAGAAAGAAATTTCCGGCGGAAAAAGGTTTTTTTGCGTCTGTATGTGCGCGGGTTCTTTTTTTTTTTTTATTACCATAAACATTCCAGATTTTTTTTTTTTTGTTTCCGTTAAAATATTTTATAATTGCTTCACTTTTTTTTCACGCTCTCCCTCTCTCACACACTCTCTCTCTTTATCTTTTTTTCGTTCAAAAAAAAAAAAAAAAAAAAAAAAGTGGTTGTTGTGGAATGAAATCAAAGAGCTTCCAGTTCGGGTCATTAAAATTATTATCTCAGGGGTCACGTGCCACGAAAATTGTTGTCCAGAAGAATCGAAATTAATGTGTTCGGAAATAAAAAAAAAATATTGAGAGGAGGTTCGGTAGAAAAGAAGGTTTCATTTTCGAACGTGGCCCCCCCCATTCCCACTCCCACCCCTTCGAACACTGTAATTTATTTATCCATTTATATTATTACCTTACTCTCCCCCCTCCCCCGTATTACGTCTTCCCTCCGATGGATAATTTGTTGTTGTTACTTGAATGTTTATATATATGTGTTGTATTGAAAACCTACCAAAAAGTCACTCTCTCTCTCTCTCTCTCTCTTTAGATAAATAACGAATTTACGACCTTCTTCTTCCTCTCTCTCTGTTTGTGTGTGTGTGATTCCTTTCAACGATTTTATTTTACTTCGATAATAATATTAGTTTTATCGATTTCCGGTTCCGCCGGTTAGTATTAGTGTGTACAATATCATCAACCACCTGAACACACACACACACAAGATTTTCTTTCTCTTTTTTCTTAATTATAATCAAACGTTTAATAATTTTTTTTTTTTTTGTTTTCAGATGGTCACATGATAAACACAAATTGTTCATCTTCTCACAACAGGTAATTTTAATTATTATTATTATTATTATTATTTTTGATCGTTTTCCGAATTTCATTTAATTCGATTTCAATTTTTTTTTGTTATTACAGGAAAGCTCTTTGTTGCAAGATGTCGGTGGAATTTGACGTTTTTCTAGAAAGTAATAAAAAGTGAGTAATGATCCTTTTTTTTTCTTTTTTAATGTTTTTTTTTTCGTCTGCTAATTAAAAAAGGCAGTCAGGTCTCATGGAATCACGGACGAGTGAGTAATTTTAAGGGTGAAATTTTTATCGGTACCCACCTGTTGCTTGCTACGTTTATTCGAATACCTGAATTCACCACCGACCGAGATTCAATAATAATATTATTATCATTATTATACTTTTTTTTCTGTTTTCTCCCCCCCTCCCTCGCTCCCTCCCTAAAAAAAATGATTTTCAATAATCCATTTATCGTGTTTATTACAAAGTCAATGGAATTGAGGAGTCGTTTTTTTTTTATCGGGCGCGGGAGGGGAAGGGAAGGGAAATTTTTATGTTACCCCCACATTTAAAAAAAAAAATGTTTTAACCGAACCAGCGGTGGTTTAAAAAAAAAAAAAATGATTTACGCGTTCTTGTTTTTTATTATGTTTTCTACCACGAAAAAATTTAAATACTTGAAAAAACAACAACAACAACAACCAGTACGACAATTTTTGTTTGTTTTTTTTTTTTTTTTTTTTTTTTTTAGAGTCAGGTAGGGCAAATGACAAAAAAAGTAATGAAATGTTAAATTTAAAAAAAAAAAAAAAAAATCCCCGGTCGCACCGGAAGACGGTTTAAATATTATTTTTATTTTCCCTGGAAATTTTTTTTTATTTTTATGAATTTTATATTTATTGCTTCTTTCCTTTTCTTTCCCTCCCCCAATTCCCCCCCCTTTTTTTTGCTTATTTTTACAGACGACGTGATATTTTTTTATATATTTTATATCTGGCTCGCATTTCTTTTTGACTTTTTTTTTTTTTGTTGTTTTCATTTTTTTTTGTACGTAATAACGACTTGAATTTCCGGTTATTTTTATTATTTGCACTCTAAATAATAATTATATTAAAAATAATAATAATAATTATAATCTTTATTGGTTTTATATATCATACATCGAAATTACACTCGCACGAGAAATATATATATCAACTCTTTTTATCGAAACTGGAAATGTCTATTTATTTCCGTTTGGAAAGAGAAAGAAAAAACAAAATGAAAATGAAAATTCGACGTCGACAAGGTAATAATTTTGCTACTTCATTGCTTTAATAATATTTTATCAAGATTCGGATTTGTTGTTGCCGGTAAAAACAAAAACTAGACAAAAACGAGAAAAAGAATGTAATGATAATAATAATAATAATAAGATGATGATGAGCCATACGAATGAAACAAGAAGTAAGGAAGGAACCGCGCGCGCGTGTGTGTGCGTGTGTTCGTTTGTTGTTTGAAAGAAGAAGAAAAATTTTTATTTTTAACGTGGAGGTAGGTAGGTAGGTAGGTAGGTAGACAGATTGGCTGATCTCGATTCAAAGTTTTTGCTCAGATCTTGATGATTTTTTTTTTTACCTTGTTATAAGAGCGTTCCGCCACGCCGCCGTTCATTTTATTATCGAATATAATCATTTTACCCGTCGAGCGAGCAGCAGATGGTATGTGTATGGTTTAGTCCATTGAATCTCTCTCTCTCTCTCTCACTCTGACATAAACTTGTTTTTTATTATTATTATTATTATTTTTTTTTTCTTTATTACGTTCAAATGTGTCTTGTGTGTGCGAGTGTGCGTCTCTCTTTCTCTCTCTCTCTCTGGTCAATAAACATAAACGACGACGGGGGGGGGGGAATTTTTAATCGTGGCAAGATGGCGCATATTTTAATGGGCAGATGTACGAAAAAATTAACGAATAAATGATTTTTTTTTTTTTTTTCGGAAAATGATGTCGTCGCCATCATTCGAAAAGTGTAAATTGTTAAGAGAGTTTACGTACAATGAAAACAATTTCAAATAATTCTCTCCCCTCCCCAAATTAACGTTTTTTTCTCCCCCCCCAACCCGGACAATCAGGTACATTAATAATAATAATAATTGCAAATGAAATATTTTACGCGAAATGTTCTCGTGCCACGTTTAAATTTAAAATTTATTATTTGACTTGTTATCATGTTTTCATCATCATCATCATCATTATCATCATTCACGTGTTTTTTCATCGATTCACGTTTAATGTTTTAATAATAATAATATTAAGATTGCGTTTAAATATCGTCTCGATTTATTTACATATTCGCGTGAGGTTTTCATTTCCTTTCTCCCCACCTCCTCTCCATTTTCCCCGCTTTTTCGAAAGAGGAAAAAAAGGAAGTCGAGGAAAAGAGAGAGAGAGAGAGAGAAAAAGAGTTCGTACATTAAAACGGTCAGAATGAAATAAAATTATATATAAATGACCTGACGGTTGTTTGTCGTTATTGTTGTTGTTTGTCGTCGTTGTTGTTATTATTTATTTATGTTAGTTTTTATTTTATCAAGTTGTGTTATCACAGTGTCATCAATGCAATAAAGTCTCTTGTGTCGTTAGACTGTGCCTGATAACCTTTGGTTTTTATTATTATTCTCTATTGTAAAAAAAAAAAATTCCTCCGGTCCTTTCCCGGGTTGAAACAATTTAAATTTTCCTTTTATTTTATTTATATCTTTCCTCGATTATCTCGAACGATAATAATAAAAAATGTATATGAGTCTAATTGATGTTAAAAAAATATTTAACCCCCTCCCCTCTTCACAAAAAATTATTATTATTTTTTTTTGTTCCGTGACCTTTGTTGGAAACGGAAAATCCGCGTGATAAGAAAAGAAGAAAATTCATTAGATTATTAAGATTTTTCATTTAAGGTTTTTTTTTTTTTATCTACTTTCATCAATTATTATTATTATTATTATAATACAAACGAATTCCTCTTTCTTTCTCTCTGCGTATCGACTTGATTTAATCGTTTGTTTGTTTGTTTGTCTTTATTTGAAACGTTGTTACGATTTAAATTTTTTTTTGCGCGCGTTTCGTCTACCTGAAAGATTTTTTTTTGTCGTAAACATAACTTTTCGTTCGTTTTTTTTTTTTTTATTCTTCTTCTTCTTCCACTTGAAATTAATTAATTTTTTCGAAAATTGCTTTTTTATAATAATAATAATAACAATAATAATAATAATAATAATAATAATAATAATGATAATAAAAAAAAAGATCGAATTAAAACAAAAAAAAAAAAAAACTCGAGTTTTTAGCTTCGAATATCATAAAAAAAAAATTAAAAATTACCTTGAAACGAATTGAAAAAAAAAAATTAAACTTCGTAGTAAATAATAATAATAATAAACTCTGTGGCAACTTTCACTGTTGCTGCCAACATTAAAAAAAAAAAAAGTAAATTTATTATATTACGCTTTTTTTTCCGAAGTCGAAAAGGAAAGAAAAAATGATTAAAAAATATAAATAATCTCGAGAGTGTGTAACCGCCTCTTTCTTATTCTTGGTCTTCTACGCCCAGAGGCTCTGATTTTCTTTTGATTGCAATTAGAAATGATAAACTGCCTCTGGAAATGGAAAGTCAATGGAGAGCAGACAAAGGAATAACAGTCAGGAGCCAAGTTAAAAATCTCGCAGTTTTAATTAATCTCTCAAACCTGTTTTTTTTTTTAAAGTCGAAACGCGTTTTTTTTTTCTAATTATCATCATCATCATCATCATCATCATCGTTTTCTTATTTCGTTTTTTTTGTATAATGCCTAACGATAATAATAATAATAAAATACGAAAAAAAGGTAGCATAATGTTTAAAAATCTTGTTTTAATTAGGCTCGGATGAATGTCCCAAAATCCTTCTTGTGATCTTATAAAAAAAAATAAAATCTCGTTTATGATTGTTTTTGTTTATAAAAAAAAAAAAAAGGATGAGAAGAAGCAGAAGAAAAAGAAGAAGAAGAAGAAGAAAAACAAGTCCATTTTTCATTTTTTTCATTTTGTTTTTTTTCGGTTGTTGTGGTTGGAAAGATTTTTTTTGCCCAAAAACTTAAAAATGTTTAAAATTCGTTAATAAGGACGGGGGAAGGGGAGGGGAAAGGAAAAAAGAAAACCCCCTCCCCCTTCTCAAATTCCCGAACGCGTTCTTTTTATATTACATCCATCATTCCCGGAAAGAAAAATCGTTACTTCGACTTGAAATTTTCTTTTTCTTTTTTGTTGTGTCATTTCGGAAAATTCATCGAGAAAACAAGGAACGACTGCACCTTTTTTTTCGTGTGAAATTGTGATAAATTAAAAACCTTAGAATGAATAATAAACCCGACGAGTTTTTTTTTTTTTTGTTTAAGATTTAGACATTAATTTAATTTAATTTTTTTTATTTTGAATTTATTAATTCGCTAAATGTTTTCGCGTACCTGAAAATAAAAAATGATGAAAAAAAAGAAAAAAAAGATTTTAATTTTTCCAGGTACGTGATTTTAAAAGGAAACACAAAGGGATATGAGAAGGAGGAGGAGGCGCCTCCTCTTAATTCTCATCATTTCGAATTTTTTTTTTCTTTCCACCTCCCCCCACCCCACCTCTTTTCCCTCCTCTTTTTCTCTAATATTGCTACTAACTGCATTTCGTTATTACCATCATCATCATCATCATCATCATCATTAATTTTTTTAGTAGGTCCTTATTTGTTAAATCTACTTTAATTATTTTATATGGGTGCGGGAAGGGTGGGGTGGGGGGGTAAACGTTTATTCTCGAAAAAAAAATATTTAAAAAAAAAAACATGGCGGCTTTTCTTTTTTTTATCGTTGTAATTATTATTATTATTATTATCTTTCGTATTTATGTCGTCGGGTTCGACGGCACATATTCCGTTCATTTTTTTTTTTAAACGAAAAAATAAAATAATATGGGAAATAATAATAATAATAATGATTTTTTTTTGTAAATCAGGGCTATTCGCCTTAACAATAGAAAGAGAGAGAGAGAAAATGTTATGGAGTCGATTTTTTTAATGGAAAACGCTTATGAAATAAAATAATGGTCTATTGTTCTCATTATCACACACATACACACAATCATGATTAAAAAAAAAAAAAAAACATTTTTCTTTTCTAGTT